CAGAAGAGGCTTTTTTTTTTAATCAGTAATAGCACGTTAAGACAAAGAAGTATACTTATTTAAATAATGAATACAGTTTTACGTTTCCATTTGTTTATAGTAAAACGTACAAGAGGGAGTTTAGAGATTCAGTTTATATCATGCCTCAGTGTCTTGATGACTTTGGTATATAGAGTCTTGTATGATAGACCTACCTTCAGCGGAGGGATCTGGAAACATCAACAAGACTTTGCAGTTAGTGTGAGAAAATCCACAAGCATGGTTACGGTGTCAAGCTTAGTGCACCTCTCGTGAGATGTGCTGCCAGACATGGTACGAGCCTGGGGAGCGGGAGGGGGGAGGTGAGGGGGGGGAGACACAGGAAGAGGTCGCCAAGTTTTGTGTACTTAGGAAACAAAGGAAAATATCAAAAGGTGCGAATGGCACGTGCGATAAGGAAATAGATTGTGATGCCATTACAGTGCTATTATCACTTGGTTCGAATTTGGTGACCTCCTCGCGATCTCACGCCCCTAACTTCTCTCCTTCCTACATTGCAAGTAGCGATGTCTGGGGTTGCTACGACCAGCACCATGGCCAGGGCAGGACCCGTGACTAAAGGAAGGTAAGGGGGACAAGGAGGATATGGGTGAAGGGGGGGGGGGGAGAAGGTCAAGCCCTGGGCATGGCTTCGGTTGTGCAGAAAACACTTTGGGAGATATGTTGCAACACGTGGTGAAATTACCAATGGTAGTAACAATGCGATTTGAAAATGAAAATATACATACATATATATATATATATATATATATATATATATATATATATATATATATATATATATGTTACCCAGTGATCGTAAATATAAACCTTAATTACCACACTTTTTGCCTCCAAGAACATCAAAAACTCCCCCCAAAAATCTCCCTAATTATTTATCCCTGCGTTCCTTGCAACTGCAAAACTTCCCACGGACGAAACATATCTCCAGCGTTTTTATTTTTAAACTTTCTAAAACTAAATTAAACAGAACTCAAGTGCGACGGCAGGGATACAGGCTTCATCCAACCATAGCGTCATCCAACCTCTCTCCGCCCGATGTGTGCCGGAGTTGGGAGGGAGTTTGTGCGGGTTGGGTGGAGTGGGCGTGGGCGTGGAGCTTTAGATTCATCAGTAATCATGTTTAAGAGTGGCTGGAAAGGGGACAGGTGTTGGAATCTGGATTTCTTTTTTTTCTCTCTCTCTCATTTTTCACGTTTTTTTTTTTTTTTTTTTTGCCGGATGTATTTTATCTGATTGGCAAATGTTTCTTTTTGTTTTCTTTTTTTATAATTAATTCATTTTGGGGGAGAGTGTCTTAGAAAAAATTGGGAGGGTTTTTTTTGCGACGTGTGTCAGTCGGTCCCTCCGTCGTCAGCCGTGATTGGCCAATAGCACGCGAACACGCTTGCTCTCAGCCAATCACGTGTCCACATCTCTCCTCTCTCTGCTGCCTGACTTAATTATGATTACTGGCTCTCAAAAAAGGAGTTTTATTAAGTGCACAGGGAAAGGCCAAGACGAATAAATCGAAATGCGCGAGCTCAAGAAAGACCAAGTCTCCAAGAAGGTCGTGTAAACAAACGAAGGAGGACGGTTTTCCTGTTCTGAATTCTTGTCTTGAGACGACATCGACGTAACATACATTCTCTCTCTCTCTCTCTCTCTCTCTCTCTCTCTCTCTCTCTCTCTCTCTCTCTCTCTCTCTCTCTCTCTCTCTCTCTCTCTCTCTAAGGCAAAACATTTCCTCTGCATATTACTCTCTAACACCACCCAACACACATTCACTCAAATAATAACACGAATGATAACAATAGTGATACTAAGTGAAAAGAGAGGGAAACGAAACGCCAAGACGTCACATGACTTGCACGACGTCCCGCAGCCTAATTCTTGCCATCTTGACAGACGTCGCCGGTTTCTCCGTAACGAGAGCGAATCGTGACGGTGGGGACTCGCTCCTGGCTCCTCCCCTCGCGGAGGCCGACACTCTCGCTCTCGCTCTCGCTCTCGCTCTCGCTCTCTTTCTCTCTCTCTCTCTTCTCTCTCTCTCTCTCTCTCTCTCTCTCTCTCTCTCTCTCTCTCTCTCTCTCTCTCTCTCTCTCTCTCTCAAGCTCTTTCTCTCTCTCAAGCTCTTTCTCTCTCTCTCTTTCTCTCTCTCTTAATCTCTCTCTCTCTCTCTCTCTCTCTCTCTCTCTCTCTCTCTCTCTCTCTCAATCTCTCTCTCTCTCTCTCTCTCTCTCTCTCTCTCTCTCTCTCAATCTCTCTCTCTCTCTCTCTCTCTCTCTCTCTCTCTCTCTCTCTCTCTCTCTCTCTCTCTCTCTCTCTCTCTCTCTCTCTCTCTCTCTCTCTCTCTCTCTCTCTCTCTCTCTCTCTCTCTCTCTCACCTCGGTACTTCTACAACCATCAAGTGCAACCCTGTGTACGATTCATCTCGCTCGCTTTCTGTCTTGGCATCATCAGGGCCCGATAAGCCTTATCAACACCCTTTTTTTTTTTTTTTTTGAGGGATTGAAACGTATGATCGAAAGAGTATGAATGATAATATTAATAAGATAATAAGGTAATCCATAATCCTTCGGGTGATATGATGGAGAATGAATTTGGTAACAGTTCATGGAGAAAGAGGGAAGAACCAAATAAACTATTAACGATATACGATAAAAAAGACAAATGAATCGATATAAATAACCAATCTTTCATATCCTGTTTACATGGCAGTCTCTCCTTCTTTTTCTCTTTCTTCTTCTTCTTCCTTTCCTTCGTCCTCGTCTTCTTCTTCTTCTTCTTCTTCTTCTTCTTCTTCTTCTTCTTCTTCTTCTATATTTACTATATATTTTCTTCTTCCTTCGTTTTTTTTTGTAGTCTCTTTCCAAATTCTTTTCCTTCTTCTCCTCTTTGCATTCCGATTATCCCTTTAAAAATTATTTCTTTTCCTTTCCTTTCTTTTCTTCTGCAATAGAATGTTTCTTTTTTTCAAGCACCGTTACAGTGACGATGAGCAAAAACAGCGCTAAAAGAGAACATAGGAATTATTGCATGAAAACCTCTCGTAGCAGAAAAAAAGAACTAAAACTGAACAAAAGTCAATCCATATTTCTTAAGATAAATCTTACTAAAATCATAAAAAAAAATAGTAGATGAAAATTAAATACAAAAAGGAATTACCGGTAATTAAAAATAAATAAACAAATATAACAAAAAAAAACACACACTGCAACGTAACACGATGGACAAAAAATAATGAAAATAAAATAAATTCTGATGAAAAACGAAAGAATTGAGGCGTCTTGGAATGCACTCAGTCAGAATCTTGGGATAAACTGGTCCTCGCATTTACATTCTGACGCAATTATGGACGAAACTATGTGCATTTGTTTGTTTCCTTTTTTGTGTGTGTTTGCGTTTGTGTTTGTGTTTATGTTTATGTTTGAGTTTGTGTTTACAGTTGAGTTTGCTTGTGTTTATTTTTTTATGTTTGTTTCGTTAAGTGTCTGTGTCTGTATGGGTGCTCACATGTGTATGATAACACATGTGCACAAGTGCACGTGTGCTTATATGTGTGTAAAAGACTCTTGTTTACATATGTTTGCCTTACTATATAAGTAAACAACTCGCGGACTCAGACATAATGAGTGAGTTCGCTTCATCCATATTAATAACCCAGGGCGGCCACCTACAAGGATCATTATCTACACAAACGTAACCTAACCTTGGACTCTAATGCACCGACGAAATTTAGACTTATAAACACACGCTCAGTCATTCTGAAATCTTGAAGATTGATGTAAGGTTTGAGTTTCATTGAAAAACAAAAATAAATATATTTATTATCGTTGGGGATACTTGGAAGAGAAAGTTGGAAAGATCTGATAGCTCTTATACCAAATACTACTTACGACAAATTAATCAAACATATACACCCATTATCATCTTTCAAGTAAAACTCTCCGTAAAATAGGCAGA